ATACAAAAAATACCAATTTATATCTTCAAATAGACCAAAAAATCAAATTCAGTTGATTAAGATTCTGCAAATAGTGAAGATATTTTTGAACTTTTCTGGACAACAATATCCTAAATAAAAGAGTGTTTCTGTTATTCTTACTAATTATTATTAATATTATATATGTATATATTAAATGGATTATGTGAATACACCTTTATCACAAGTATTTTATCTTAAGCGAAAGTTATACTACTCGCACTAACATCTATCAGAGTTGTTAACATTAAATAAATATAAATAATCTCTGCTTTTCCCTAAGACTGCAAACAAAAAATATGGAGATTTTGATACACAAACCATCCCACGCTTTTCTCCCAATATATTAAGGTTTTTTAGTTTTTATGAACTGTATTTATTTTTCACCTTTTAGTTTAATGCGCTTTACAAGCATATTTTTTGGTTTTTTAAACCATATTTATTATTTAGCTACACATGCTGTTTTCACTTTCTTTAAGGATGTCCTTGAGTAAATTAGTTATTGAAATGAAAGCATGGGAGTTGATACTTTTAGCTGTATAATTTAATGGACACTTTTTTTTTGCAGGATGGAAAAAGCTTTTCGCTCCATAGTTTTAGGCTTATTTTTTTTTTTTTGCAGTGCTTATCAAACTGTTGATGAAAAAAGTTACAAGTATACAAACATACAGGTGAAGTTAAAAAAAGCGTTATAAAGACTGGACCAGGTAATGAATCCCCCAAAGAAATGCGAAAGCGGTCTGAGGGTGGCGACGTTTCCTTAGAAAAGAGTTTCTTAGTGTCCTTAGTGACACATTGGTTCAGTCGAAAAAAAGTATAAGCCATGTACTCGTATGTTCTACAATATATTGCTATTTCACTGTAAATTTGGTTTTGTTGACTTATGCTTGAAAAAAATATATATAAGAAAACAATGAATTAAAATAAAATAAAACAAAAAGAGTGAAGCAAACGAAGGTGAAATTTTTTCTCGGCTACCTCTATCTTACTGGGTCGTATATTTTAAATTCTCCGAGGCAGATCTGTAGAGGATTTATTCTAGCTGGAAAGTGTCACAACTATATATGTAAGGCAAATCCAGCAAGGTGGAACTTTTCAGTTTCGAGCGGATCAAGTGCTTGGAGTGCAGTACAAATCAAGCAGTACATACTTATATGCTGGTGATCTAATAGCTAAAATATACATATGCATATTTACATATCATGTAGTACATATATTTCAAAGTGTTACCGTTAGCTTTGTAAATATGCAAAAAAAATTGATATTGGAATATTTTCGAATTGTGACTAAAATAGAAATAAGTAACTAATTGTGCTTATCATGGAAAAATACTTCAATGTAGGCAAATGTATAGGTGTGTGTGTGTGCAGTCGTACTGTAGTTAATCAAAATTTTTATTAAGAGTGTACACTATGATTTAATGTACGAGTACGAAAATAAATTCCATTCGCGTTTCACACACACACATATATGTTTACGTATGTACATATTGTTTTGTTGCCCCGTTGACTGGCTTAAATCGCTCTTTGATAACGGCGCACATGTGTGACAATTCGTCAAGTGACAAGTGCTGGGGACCCACGGGCGGACAGACATTTCCCTTCACTTTACTTCAGTTCGGTTAAATGTTTTTATTGCAATATTGACGCAAAAGTGATTGCTCTGATAAAACTACAAAAACCAACACATCTTCGTATATACATATGTATGTGTGTAGACCCATTTAGTTGTTTATGTTTATGGGTGTTCAGGCGTCATATTTTTACACACTCTCGTACTTAAATTCGTAAAGAATTTCAAGTGCCACTGCAGCAGAATGAAAACAAATCCGAGCGATTCCAATAGCCTTAAGAGTACAGGGTTGTATGTGCATTCAAACAAATATGATTTCATCGACACTGAGCATTGCCAGTCTTGAAATTATACTTTCGGCTATTTGCATTGTATTGTCTGTTTACAATCATCTTTTCGCCTAGAAATTAATTATCTACAAGCTGCAATAGTTGTAAGACACTCTTACATCTACATATGTTTGTATATATGTAACTATTTATATTGACTTGTAGGCAAGTGTACTGTTACTTGCAGTATCTCCTCTCCCGTATATTAAAGCACTCGCGGATCGCTGCTCCAATTTTAATTTACACCTTTTACGATGTCAGATGATAGCATGCGCATATATACGTCAACGTTCCGTGCTTGTAAGTTAAGCGTATTATTACTATCACGATCTGTGTTCGACGTCTGTTTATTTATCGAGTTATTAAAATGGCAATTAAGATCTGTCGCCACAACTACGAGCCGAGTCTAATGAACGATAAACAACAACGTCACAATGTGCGTTACTAATTTACAACGTATACATAAGTATATCTATAGACAAATATATGCAAAGAGATATCTAAATATGTAACATTGCAAATAACCTTTTACGACGGGACTTTGGGGGCTCAAGCCGCGATATGGAAATTTTTGCAAAGTTCCAAGAACGTTTCCGACAAATTGGAGCTTGTAAAGCTACTAAGCTGTACGTTTACTTCGAACCCCTTGAGCTCAACGTATTATTGTTAAAAAGGTAGATAAAGAAATCGGAAAACGAAAACAAATTGACTAACATCCGCTAAAGCGAGTGAATTTCGCAAATAATTCACCTCGAACAGCAATCACTGCCTATATGTTTACATATTGGGTCGTTCACTAAGTAATTTCGTCTGATGACAACAGCTGATCTTATTGCATTTTTTCGCAGCCAACTTCACACTTGACCGATTTCCCGTTATATATTTGAACAGCTAATATATGTAGAAATGCTTGTTTGTTAAACCTTAAATTCCTTAAACCTTTCTTAATCCTTAAATTTTTTAGAATAGTTTTTGTTTGATGCCCTATCGAAGATGGAAGATCCAAAACATCATTTTCGGCATATTTTACTATTTTGCTATCAAAAGGGTAAAATGTGGTTTGCAAAATTTCGTTCCGGCAATTTCGATCTTGAGGAAGCACCACGTTCTGAAAGCAGTTGGTCGATGAAAATCGTCGAATAACAAATCGAGAGATTGCTAAAAGACTAAATTTGTCATATATCAAAAAATGTTTTACACAATAAAAAAATCGTGTTTAAATTCCACTAAAACAACGAAATTAGTTAGTGGACGACCCAATAGTTGATAATTCAGTAAAAAACATTAACCTGCTCGCGTTCTGGTTTTTATGTAGTGGGTGAGAATTTTATTTATTTTTTTGCTACTAATGTTGAAAAGAACTACAGTTTATAAGCGATATGAAAATGTTTTAAATCGGTTAATATATACACTTATTTCCGATACTACAATTTTTGCTTCAAACATTTCTTGAGTATCATGTCTTTATATTTTAGTTTCCATTCAAACAACTTTCGAACAAATATCTCTGATAACAAAGCGCCACATAAAGTTATAACTCTTCTGACACTCTTGAGATATTTACAATTTACAGGGCTTCTTTTACTGTTATTGCTTCTGCTCCTAACTATGGTTGAGGCTTTTGTCCAATTCATTTTATGAGTTCGCTTAGATAGTGCCATCTACATATACAAGTAACTTCTGAAAATACTATTTGTATTCAAATCTCGGAGACTGAACATTTTTTACCCCATTAGACATTTTATGTGGGCGACAGTGTAAGTAAGTAAGTATATTTAATATTATATATTTGCACTACTAAATAACGCTAAAGCTTCATAGGTGTGTCAAATTAAGAGTAAACGTTCGAGTAATAAGGGTAATAATATGACAATATTGAGATTTATTTGCATTTTTAAAAGTATATCCACATGTATGAGTATATACAAATTTTGTTATAATATTTCTGATGTTTTCAGATTAATGTGTCTTTTTTTGAAAGGTGTATGTATATTTGTTAACACCTTCAGTATTTTTACATTACAGTAGTAACCTCACATTATAATAAAATAATAAATCTTTGGTTGAGTTATGGCCATAAACTAAAGTCGTTGGTCGATGCAAATCGTTTAATAACAAATCGGAACATTTCTGAAAGATTAAATTTATCTAATATCAAAAAATGTTTGACACAAAAAAACATTTAATTTCCAATAAAACAACGAAATTCCTTGGTGAACGACCCAATAGTTGAAATAAAAAACCATTATGAAAAACATTATGAAATTTGAAACTGTCAATAGGGCTCTATTCGTGTTTTACGTGAATACAATCTTTTCGAATAGAAATTTGTTTTTAAGATATTCTGTAAAGACCATAGACTCATTTAGGATGCACAGATGTTATATTTGTTTATAGTTGAGATGTTGATGATGATGTTTTAAGCAGTTCTATTGTTATGCATGTATGATGATAGCCAAGTTTATATGAACTCAATTTATTAGAACGTGTTGCAATAACGTCTCTGAACTCCGTCGCAAGAAGTAGGAATAAAATCTTTCATCGTTAGCTGGAGTCCCACTTTTCAGCTCTTCCATATCTATGACTAAAAACTGCACTGTTTACCGGAATTTATTTAAGTTAAAAAAATTGGGATAATGAGATCATGAGTATCAGTATCCGAATGATAAATTCATATGGAAATATGGAAGAAGATTAGTGTTCTCTACATGGTACAATAGTCTCATCAAGGTAAAGGGATATCTTTATAAGTCTTCCTATAATGCTTCCAAATTTAGTATAGAGATATATATTTTAGACCTGTCTTACTATTGAAATTGGGTCAAATGTCAAATTAAGCGTTGAAGACAGTTCATACAAGTATATATAATATATATATGAATATCACCGGATCATTAAACAGCGCTTAAAATGTTGGAGTTTGTTCGAAAATATTAAAAAAAACAAAGAATTATATGCTATTGCAATAGTATATATATAATTAATAGGAAGCTAATAATATAAAACTCTAATATTCAAGAGCTAAAATCAGCGTTGAACCGATTGAAATCACATTCAAATAAAAAGTGCATTCATACTTACATGAATTCTTCCACTCTTGGAATTTGTGATATAGAAAGCAGGAACAAATGAAGAAAATCACCGATACAATGAGCAGCGTCAGTATGACACCAATCCAGATGTCACTCACTACCAACGGTATTTCGGTCTCATGATGGTTGTATGTGCTGCGGGCCGGCTGTAGATGACCACCCGCCGTTGGACCACTGAATGGGTCCAGAAATTCTTTTGAACCACCCACAGCCACCTCGATTTCTTTGCGATCCAATGAGAGATTACCTAAGGCCGAGTCCAAACCCAATGCCAGACGTTCTAACTTATTAATGAGTACGGAATAATTCTGTGGCAGCTCGAACAGCTCCAGTGTGTCTTTGGAGGTGGTTGTGTAATTTGTGGAGATTACTTGCAGTTCGGACATGCTGTCGTCTTCTGTGTTCCTTTTGTATGTACTTATGCTTTATAAATAATATAAATACATGTACATATGGTCTGTATGTACGAGTATGTACAATATATGTTTATGTAGTTATTATGAGGTAGAAGTTAGCTTTAAGAAGCTGTTGATTTTCGAGTTTTGAATGTGTTTTATTTAAGATTTTGTATTGTAAATATTATCACTGAGTTCCATTAATTGATTGGATTATTTGGCCAGAGTGCTGTTATCGATTTTATCGACTTTATTCGCGCAGCTTCATATTGCAACTAAAAATATACGAAGGTGTAAAATGGCAAAATTTTAACAGAGTTTTGAAAGTTTTTGCCTCCGCTTGATCTGCCTTGTGATTGGCGCTGTTTCCGTCACAGCATGCGTTGCTGATCGGCGCCTTCGGCGGTTCACTGAGAAAGTGCGGGAACGCGTGCGCATCTGTGCATTTGCAAGTGTTCCATTCAAATTTTTATTAACACTTTTATGCTAATAATTTCGGTTAATAATTTTAAATCAAAACAATTCTAAGAGCTTCCCTAGCGGCATGCATGTGCTGCGCTATAGTGTTGCGCAAATACATACTACGTACATATGTGTATATATATGTTTTCCACTGTATATACAGTATAAATAAATGATATATGCATGTTTTTTGTCATCTGCCCCGCAAAGACGCTTACACATACCATTGCGCTTTCAAAAGCGTTGTAAATTTCTGTGTGTTTGTGTCTGTTAGTCTTTCTGTCAGTATATACGTGTGTATAAATATACATACGTAAGTATGACCATATTCAAGTTTATTTGCTTTAGCATTTTCGCCTATAGTATTTGTGCCCAGCAGAATTCTAACAAAATAAGCTTTTGTTATAGCAATAGTTTAAACAGCCAGCGACGCAAAACCATGGACCGAATCAGCTGATACGACCTATTTTATGATTGATGATATGAGCGCAATGTAAATGAACACTCATCACCGCTTCTACCTTTTGCATCTACAGACAGTACAGTAGCAAGGATGAAATGATGTGAAACTCTTTGATTCGAGAGAGAGCTGTCAAAACCGACATTTTTTATAATATATGCCAATCATGCCACTGTCGAAAGAATAAGGATTGGGTATTTCAAAAATACTTTTGGGTATTTTGCATTTCGTTATTATTTTTAGGTGCCCCGTTTCCGAGTAGGCCTATATAACGCATATACATCCCTAAATACGTATATTCATATTATACAATTATTAAAACATCACATAACATAAAAAATTATATATAAATAAAAAAATTATAACAAAGAAACAATACAAGTCATAATAAAATATCATGGTTTTATGACTAACGTTTTAAATTATATTAGGAAAAAAACTTTAGTTGCACGTTCTTTGAAATCTCGTTTCGCACTGCTTTTGTTAGCTATTTTTTGCCTAATCTTAATAAATAGGGAAAGAGAATAACAGAAAAATTAGGGAGAATGAGAGAGTCTCGCACCATGTCTGAGAGTGAGAGAGCAATATTTTGCAACGCAGGGTAGCCAATCTCGATATTTTGTAGTAATTAAAAAATGAACTTGAATATATTTGAAATATTCTTAAAATAACTCAAAATCACAGTCGAATACACTTATTTATAAATAGGTAGACTATTTTTAATAGTTGGATTTTAGTTTTAAGCTTTTACATTATAAAAAATTATAACTAAAAAACTAAGTGTGTGAAAAGTCGTCTATACAAATAGAACTAGGGCAACATTGGGGAAATGAAAACAAAAGAGAACACCTGATTTCTGCGTTGCAACTACGGGCATAACTTTTGGTTTGATACGGGCGGTAAGTACGGACGGGAGGAATTTCGGTGACTGTTTGAGCTATAAGTCTCTAAATCGATAAAAGGGTGTTACTAAGAGGCCGATGCAAATATATATAAAAACAAATGGAGAAATTTCTATTTGTTATTACTTTATGATGGAAATGTGAACAGTGGTGGAGTCACGCCTATGCCAGAAATACCACATACACGCTTACTTATGTATTGTCAGACGGCATTCTCATCTATATAGAGGGTTGGAGGAGCGCGCTGAATGATTAATAACGTTTTTGGCAACTCCTTTTGTATTTTGCATTTAAAGCTTAATTTTAGATAAATTTATATTTAGACCCTTCTTTAAAAAGTATTTTTAATAATGTTACGCATACAATTTACGGTTAAATTACGATGTCTACAGTTCGTATACATTTCTAGATTTATTATTCATTAAATGCAAAAGTTACTCGAAAAGTGTTATTTCTCTTTTTATATTAGCAGATCAAAGAAAAGCAATACAAGAATTCTAGAGATATGCAAGAATGACAAAGACAAGATTGCAACACGCTATGATATAAATGAAACGAACTGTCCAACTTTGATTATAATTGTAAACAAAGCCTCTCCCTTCTTTCGTCGTAATCGAATCATGAACTAAAGTATTTTCTGTCAACCATGCTCTAAGAAAGTAACGGAACTTCATTTATCTCATATATCCACTTTAAAGTTAGTTGCACACACGGAAGTTAGTATATTCCTTGTATATATTATATATAACGATTCCATTAATTTTTAGAACACAGTTGCCACATAACATATTAGGTGATTTAGTTATGTTAAATTTTGTTAGGGATTAGATGTGAGGTGTGAAAATTGATACGTTCTTCTTTAGTTTGATCCATGTCCATATTTTGTGTTATTCATTTTTAGGTAAGCATATCAGGTGCTTTAGTTATTTTAAATTTTGTTAGAGATTAGATGTGATGTGTGAAAATTGATACGTTCTTCTTTAGTTTGATCCCTGTTCACATTTTGTGTTATTCATTCTTAGGTTTTATACTCTTGCAACATGTTGCTACGGGTTAAGGGTTAAAACCACTACTACTTCCCATATAACACAATTTTAAATTGCATTTGATTCTTTCACTTTCCAGTATGCAAATCAAGCACTACTTAATGTATCGAGAAGAAACTTTGCGCATATAGTGCCGTTAATGTATGCTATCTCAGATTTGAAAATTGTCCAAAACGGACCATAACTGTTCAAGCTCCCAGATGCCGGTAATATGGACCCCTTATGGCTGACTTTTTACCAAAAATATCGCCAATGTGCGAGATACTTATATAATTGAAATAAGCAGAGAATCCTTTCCTGATAAGAGTATGTCTGTATGCCAAAACAGGTTGAATCAGGTCAATATTATCCTTAGCTCCCATATATCTAATATACATATTTTCGAACTGACGGGTGACTTTATACCGCATATATCGGCCAACATGTGAGTTACCTCAATAAAAATGAAGAAGAGTAAAGCAGGGATACTCGAGCAGTACGATCTGTTGAGCAGAGTCAAAGTATTGTTCAGCATAGGATTAGGCGTCAAAATCCAGAATTTCTAGGGTAGTAGGGACAAAATTCTCAAATTCGCTCAGAAGAGCAAAGTAGGAGCACTAGGGAATGTAGAGAACTTCGCGCAAGAAATCCAGAGCATAGGAATTTAGAGCGCAAGAAAAAATTCTGATATAAGGAGAGAAGAACGTCATAGAGACGCACAACGTCGACAAATTATCAAGAGCCGTGCGAGGAAAGAAATTTTAAATCGAAGGCGTCGTCGATAAAGTCATATTCGCCTTCGTAGATATAAATTAGTCAATAGGCAAATTGAATACGAAAGTCAGTCGCAACGAATTAGATTAACGAGGGAAAATAATGTAGAAACTGATTATACTGACAATTTAACAGATTTCATACATCCCGCAAAGATCATGAAAGCTTTGTAATTTTTTGTAAACACCCCTCTGTATCGCGAGCACAATATACGCATTAAAGAGAACTGGATTTAAGGTTTTAATAACCAACAATAAGTTCCTTCTGTTGCATCTGAGCGTGTACTATTCTTAAATTGTTCTACAATTATAAGAAATTATAAATGTTGCAAATTAATAATAGTACATTATTTGCCTTCGAAAGTTTTTAGGTCGCAACCGGGTTACGGCCCGGTAATTTTATATTACTGATGAGACAGTGCGTAGCTATCATGACGGTAGACTTAGTACAATAGCTCTTCCTTAGCTTTCTAGCATAGTGGCACTTGAATGGCTTAGTATGTTAACTCTCATTCCAGTTTTCAAGAAAAGTGTAATAAAATAAGTATATTAATATGTGAATATTCTAATTAAAAAAATTTAAATGTAAATTTGATGTTGTTAAATAAATATATATGTATATGTATGTATGTACCAATGTATAAGAATCTGTAAAAGAACTTATGTTTAAAATTGTGAAGATTGCTTATTAATTATACATATATATGATATATTTTTTTAAGTATATAACATTTATTGCTTTTAAGTTAATATGTGTAATAATATTGATATAAGTATCATATAAAATTTCTTTTCATATTCCTCAATATGGTTATAATGCATTTTATATACAACAGTGATTGTTAAAAACGGGTGCCAAACCTTCTTCTTTGAAGTAAAATATCTATAGGAATCCTCTACCTTGCAAGAGTATAAAATATAAGGCTACACCCGAACTTAGCCCTTCCTTACTTGTTAACCTTTTAAAATTCTACTACGTCCCTCTCCTTCCTTTTACCGACCTCAGATCGCCTGTAAATTATTATACTCTTGCAATATGTTACTACAGAGTCATTAAACGAAAACCTAAAAAGTGCCATAACTAAGCACTAAATTAAAATAAAGAATTGTAGTTTGCCACAGAGGATCGCAGTAGCAAAGGGCACCTGTGGGCTAAACATTTTAAAAAAATGTGCGTCACCCGGCATTCAAATAGGTTTAACCTATGTATATATCTCCCAAACCATTCAAGCTATAATAACCAATTGCGCTCTGAACAAATTCCTTATGCACCACTACCGACACTCTAAATAAATATGCCAGAAATGTTAAATTTTCCACTCGAGATGGTATGAGGGTTTTTTATAGGAGCCGCGGTCAAAATAAGACGATGGGCGTGGCTCCGCCTACATTTCGGTGAAAACCCATATCTACTCCACTGATATCGACCAAATGTGGCAAGTATTATTATCTTGACATTCCTATATTCCAGTGCAAAAATGGGCAAAATCGGACCACGACTATTTCACATACATATAATATAACACAAATTTAAATCCCATCTGATTTTTTGACTTTCCCATATACAAATCAATCAATGAAATATATTGAAATAAATCATGGTGGTAGATCCAAATCCCATCCATAGTTATAAAACGACGCAAGAAATCAGTT